GATAGTTTTCAAAGAGTACTAACTTTACTAGAGTGCAAACCTTTACTTTTAAGGGACTCAAGAAAGAAAATCTGCCATCGACAAATATGAGAGAGACTATAACTTAGTTCAGTTTCATTAAAAGATACATGTTGATATCCCAGTCATTCCCAGAACAGACTGGAATATAATCCTGATGGAACTCTCATCAGATAACTGTACTAGATCACTTACAGACCAGTACACTCGGCATCAGTCATCCATTTCTTAAAACCGCTTCAGCTGCCGCTGTAAAAGTACACCCAAACTGCCAATTTGGGCATTTGTTCCAGATCCAAAAATCTCACTATCACGGTAAAAATATTTTCTGGATTTCTGTTTTGCTTTTTAAAATAAGACAAGGGTCTTAGTGGAATGTCATTGTTTGAAACACTGAAACTACATCCCTTCAGATAACAGATACCTACAAACAACTATAACTAGGTGCTTGGTTAAGTTCCTTGAAATCTCTCAGGATCTCTTGCCTTAAATAATTTCCTAATCCACATACGGAACCTTTGTTGCTCTTGATCACTGACTTCTAAAAGGCCACATTTCATGACACACCTCAAACAGAGAAAAACTTCTCAATCTACAAGCTCATGAAAGCTGGATGCCTTAAATCTAATGAAGGCAAAAATCCTCATCTTAACAAGACACAGGAGGAAAGAGGGCAGCGCCTTACTCTTCAATGAAAATATGGAGAAAAAGGTAATCTGTTATAATTTAGCAGTTCTTACTTGGAAGCACCTTTGATGACATCAGTCAACATATCTCTGACCCTGCAACAGAACAGAAAGAATTTACACCACATTCATGACACTATAGCATGAATTCAGCTAATTTCCCCTTATGCCTTACACAGGTCTATTCCAGGTTAACAATTATCTCAGCTACTGGAAGACTTACCACAAAATAATTACAAGCATTTAATCTGTAAAAATACTTACATACCACCCAACACTTCTTCATGCTCATGTGCACTCCCAGTAAAGGGCTCTTACTTGACTTAATACCACTTTTTGTAAAATGCTGGTTCATGCAATAGCCATAAATCTGTTTTTTGAGCACATCAAACACTTAAGTTTCCAGACCACTGTGCTTTGCCTTAGCATAACAAAAATCTGAATGTTTTACAATGGACAACTGTTATAATTTATCTAACACTTACTATACTCCTGGGAACCACTATGGGCAGTTATGCTATTAAGCAGCACAGTAATCTATTTAAATGAAAGTCACAGGAGTAGTTACAACTTCTTACATGTTACTGTAGTTGATTTGTAATAGGTTACTTGTTTGCAGTTTAGTTTTGCATTCAAATCAAGACAGAAGCAAGGGTGCAGCGAATCTTCTAGACTGGTAGGTGTGGGTGAGGAGAGAGATCCTCTACAGTACGACATACAATACTATGATGGCCACAAACATCATTCCACAGAAAAAGTCACTTCACTCACACTTTCACAACACGTGATTAGAAGACTAAAAATACATGTCTCCTAAAACAGGGCTGTTATAAGACCTAGTTATATTCAGGATTTCAAAGAAACCTAACCAGGCTTTCCTTCACAACCACACTGTTTTTGCATACAGTTTCAAAACCACCCATACTAGAAGCATTTACAACAGCTAGGTGAACACCACTGCAAAATTGCATGGCACTTACACAATAAATCATTAACACTAAAGTTTAGATCAAGTTGTTCACAATTAGGCTAAACCTATTGGGTAACACAAATGATTAATGGGTACTGAAGTTAGAACCCTGAAAGACCAAGCAATTAAGTGGGGATTGGAAAAGAAACAAAGGCTAATACTGGGCTCTCTGTTCACTTAGTGCTTTGATTTCTTTCCTGTTAAAGGGAATTCTGTTCATTTTTGACATAGCTTATATATTCAGAAAACACAGAGCAGAAGTTGGTTCAGGAAAAATCTACAAAAGCAGCATTGCCAGAAAAATGTATTCTTTATACCCTATCAAGAAAGGGATCAGCCAGAGCAATTGTGCCACCAATACAGAAAGAATATTTTCTACAATACCATATAATTCTGGATCTTGTGATGAAACCCTCTATTCTAGAATTAACTGGAATAAAACAGACACAAATTTTGTATTCCTGGTAAGTTGGGCTTAGAAACACCTTTTTCACTGAAATGGATAAAGGGCATTTTGGGTTTGTTTGTACATACTTTGTTCCCAACACACTTATGAACAAGATATTCACACACAGAAACAGATATTTATACTGTCCATAGATAAATAGTTCTTTCTCACTGTGAAGCCTCTCACTCCCCACCTTCTTCTCCTGGCCATGCATGTACATGGCTAAATCCTGACAGAGAGACACTTTTCACCTGAGTGAAACAGAAGTAGCTGAGGATATGGATCGGGGTGTGCATCATGCGCTTGCTTTTAAATGTCTTCAAGCTCAACATTGCCAACTTACCATATGAATTGAAGTGTGTCAGTCTACCACGACATACATCATACTGTGGCTTACATTTCTTATATCAAGGCATTTTCAGTGAGACAGCTCACTTACGTCTCAACAAGAAAATTTTTAGCTTTACATAATCCTTCTCCTTTCACATGATAGAAAATAAACGAATTTTTCCATTCTTTCTAGTTGCTTCCCCTGCCAAGTTTTTAGGCTCTATAGAGGAGAAGGTAACTGTGCATCCATGCATACGGGAATCCTTGCAGTTACCCAGTAATCTTTCTTTCTGCTTCCCTTACCTACCATGGTCACTGTACCTAGTGGTTGGTTGTTGGTTTTTTTATAGATTTGTTTTTTTGGTTTTTTTTTATTGGTGCTCATAGTGTCTTTAAACTTGTAAAAGTGAAGGTTTTGAAATCTTGCCCTCCTCTGTCCTCTCACTTGCCATTATGAGTGATCAGGAGCAGAGAGGCATTTCCTTACCACAGCCAGGCTGTAAATTGCTTGTACTGCACCTCTTCAGGATCCTCTTTTCCATGTTTTAACTGCATCTCCAGCTCTGCCTGCCTCCCCTGCAGAAATGGAGAATAAGTCAGAAGTGGATTTTTACATGGCCAATCATCGTAAGATTTCTTCAGAGAAGACTCAGGTAACACATGTAGCCCTTAACCTGAGGGATACTTCAAAATTGACTGCTTTTCATATGGGAACCCGCTGTAATATACATTACATTAAGTAGAAGGATTCATATTTTTTTTATTGTGAGTGAGAAAAGCAAGAGGCAGATGGCATACATGGCCAAAAGAAGGCAGGTTCCCTTGGGAAGGAGTACAGCAAGGAGGGAGTGAGCTTTAGAAGCTTGCTGACTCAAATGGATTCTAACAGCAAAACATCACTTTGTTGATGCACCACTTAAAGCAGAATTCCTCATCCTTTTCCTTGGTATGACTGACTACTTCCTTGTGACCTCCTACACCATTCTTCCTGTACATTTAAGGAGGTGATCTGGATTCTGGCCTCTAACAGTTGTTATCTAAACACATTAACCTACTCATCTTACATGGTAGTCTCTCTTGGCCACCTCAGATGAAATGTACTATAGATAGGGATACAGACTAAGTAAGGATACTAGGCATCCAGTGAGGGACTTCAGAAGCAGCAAAAATAGGCTTTATTGTCCTGCAAAATGGCAAGAAATCATACAGATCCTTCAGAAATGTCTGGTAAATGCCAAACTTCTAGTGAAATCTTGCCTTAGAAGGGAAGCAAACTAGGAAAGTTATTAAATGGAAACAACAATGTCCCTCTCTGTAGTTAAGACCTAAAATTGCATTTTGAATAGCTACTGCTTGCTTTGTAATGGGGCTAGCTTGGATTAGAATCCTGTACTTTCCTGAAGGCCAAGATAAAATTTATTTTGAAAATGTGAGAGAAGCATATGTTTTGCTGCACAGCAAGACAAGGAACAATTAAAGCTTCTAGAATTTGCTCAGCAACCTGAGATGCTCGTGCTGAAAACAGGTGATGTGGCCTGGAAATAGAAACAAAGAGGCCCTTCTAGTAGCACAAGGAGCCTTCTAGAAAGCAGCTATTTGCTAAAACTTTTTTAGATAACTTTCCTGTTGAAAAACAAAATGATACTACATTCATCTAGATACAAAGTCAGTTAACCTAATGAAAGAGAGGATTTCAGGTATTTCCTGATCATTAGATAGGGTTGAAAAAAATTCAGATGACCAATGTCTCCAATGTGACAGCATTACATGCTGATAAGGGAAGTTCTTTTTAACGAATCATCCCTCTGTAGCTTCTCTCTCCTTTATGATACTACTATTGCAAACTTCCTACCCAAGCAATAAGTTAGAGATCTAGCTAAATTTCACATTCTAAAAATTCTAAGAATTGACATGTTCTGCAAGCTGATACAGGAACAAACTGCAAGAACCTGAACTGTGAGCAGAAGTCACACTTCTACAAAGCATCCCAGATTGCACTGCCATTTACCGAAGACTAATTTTTATTTCCTTTCCACAAATTTTATTATTAAGCACCTCAAGCTTTGGGGTTTTTTAACTTTTGTAACTTGTACAAGTGCTCTTGCTGGTAAAAATAAAACTCGTACCACTGGAATAAGCATTAACGTGCACAGTGTTAGGTACCTTGAAATTACCTGCAGGACTGCGTTGTAGGTTCGGCTCATAAATCCTGACCAGGACTGTGGCAGCAGTATGGAGCGGTGCCATTCAGAAGGTTGAATGTTAACCTGTGCAACACACCAGAATGATTAGAAGTGGTTACATCAAGTCTACCATATGCAGAATCTATGACCTCCAGTCCATGATTTGCAGGACATCATTCACTCCCTCCCACAGGCCATTATACATGGCTGTAGGAACCTAAAATGATATATTATCCTCCTTTCTGATTTTAGTCACACCAAGACACTTTCAACTTCATCACCCAGGCCAGTCAAAATTGGTTGCTTCAGGTAGTGCAAGAAATAATTGATCCCAGAGAGAGCACTGCAACTGTTGTGCAACACTAAGCAGAACACTTTGCAGCATTGGTAAACAGAAATACACACACAAAGATGCTAGTGCAGTTTATGCTTTCAAGATTTAAAAATCTTGAATGCTTCCAAAAGCTTTAAACAGACAGGTAAAATAAACACAAGAAGATGACCTCCTAAATACAGGGGAGAATATTCAAAAGGAGTTAGTAACCATGACTGAAGTATATAATGCTTAAGTATACAGTTTCAATTTCCTTTAAGGAAAGGAATTGCTGAAAAAAAAAAGAAAGGAATCACAAAATTCCTTTATAGGAAGCACCACTATAGAACTAACAGGAAGAAAACAACACTGACTCAAAGACAGTTTAAAGAAAGATGCAACAGCGCTCTCTGCCCGTCTCCAAATCTCACACAGGTATGACACCCTCTTACCTTCCACAACAAAAGATTAACTCAAACCACCAATTACAGAATCTGGTGCATGTGCAGAGTCTTCCTCCTGGAGCCCAAGGTTGTTCTCTTTGGTAAGCACCGTAGCAAACTGACCCAAAGACTGTTTCACAGCAAAAATGAAGTCAAGTGACCTCCGTAACAAGCTATTTTCTAGCCCTTGGTAGGTTAATGAAGTCCAGCAAACCATTTTAAGGTAGTGTTCCTATGAACGTAGGTTGTTAGCACAAAAAAAATGTCAATTTTTGATGTGCTGACAGATGCTATCATCACTGCTAGTAGGCAGAAAATTTTTTTATTAGAGACTATACTTGGTGCTTTACTATGGCAACAGGCAAGTGCGACAACATAGTAGTTTTGAACTGATCTTCATCCCACTGTAATTCAACTCATGTAAAAGTTTGATACATGCCTATAATTATAATATACTTAAATATGTTTTTTTCCAGAACCTCTGACACTGAACCCAGGTCCCACTGAATGAAGCAATTACCTAGAGAGCAGAGCTTTTCTTTCTGGATATTATGCAAGCCCATGCTTTGTTCATAACCTTTACTCTAAACCTGTTCCTTTGACATACTATGAAATGTCCTTATGGACTTCCCCTAGTGCTCTCCACTGGAGCAGCCAAATAGTTAGAAAACATTCACTAATTTACTTGCAGAGTCCTGTGATGATGAGGGGTATGATCTCCAGTTTCTGGTTGCATTCTTCAGCAGCAAAGATGTCAAGATGGAAAATATCTATTTAATTGCATATGTGGTGAGATATCTTGAGATATGTGTCTAAGGGTAGTGTTTCTGTTTTATTTTTACTAGTCTGAGAGAAGACCTTGCCACCTGAAGTACTTCATAATCCCATTGACACTGCCTTCATAACACTGTACCGGGGATGGATTTCTACACCCAGGTCCAACTGCTGCAGATGGTCCTTTGTCCTTGTACCACATGGCCTCACTTCCACCGGCAACCACGTGGTGTCTCTGTAGCCACATGACATGATTATTACATTTTGTGGCTTTTCAGTTCTGAAGGACCAAAATGACTAAGATGCTGTATGGAAGGTAAAAATCTATGTGTATGCTTAGCCTACATGTGTTTGAGAGGTAGTATAGAACCAGAAGACTGCACTAGGCAGAAGCAGCCAATTTCAGCATAGCATACATTCACACTGCTTGACTGGAAACTTAAGGCAAACTATGCTGCAGAGAGGTTTGCTAGAGAGGGAACTAGTTTGCTTGATCCAAAGAGCAAGCACTTTATTTTCCATAATTATTAAGTGGAGGCTTATTTCATGCCCTTTTTCCAAAACCACACCAAAGCTAACTGCATGGTTTCAGCGGTGTAAGCCTAATAGCACAGCGAGTTGAAAAAAAAATAGAAGAGCAAGTCTTAGCAAGGTGTAGATGTTGTTACCTCACAGAGTTCATTCATTGTTCAGACCTGCTACTTGCCTACAACTGGTTATGGATGACAAATATAAGGCAGGCAGAGAAGTCTGCAAGATAAAGGGAAAGGCCACCTATTTGCTCTTCTGGTTTTCAGAAAAGGCATTTCAGCAGTGAGCACTTCAAAAAGAATGTACTTACACATTCAAGTTAGTGAAGCTGAGTGAACATGGTTAATTATGATACATTCATACATGTCATTGTCAGCTGATACTGATACCTAATCAGCATAAAGAAATGAGGTAAAAAGGCAGGGAAGGAAGTGTAATACTTGTGAAAAGTGAAGAAAAGACATCAACTTACTTCATGGATGAGGGCTACCAACATTTGCTGGAAATTGCGCCCCCTGCTCACCAGAAATCGATTAATAGGCTTGCCATCTTTGCCCATATGGATTGGAAGGTCGTAACACAACAACATGCCAGCTTGAAGACGGAGGGAAGAGGAAAAGAAAGGTCAATACCAACACTCACATTGATAGTTCAGAAGTCTTGCAAAAGCCAGGGGAGAAACCAAGCAAGTTAACTTAATAAAGCCAACAATTCAAAAGCAGATGGAAGAGTATCACAGTGGTATAAGACATCATTTTTTCTGACACTGATTTGCTTCCAGATTTACAGAAATCTTTGGGTCAAAGCATGTATACCTGCCTAACTTCTACAAAGTGACAGCTTACCTGCGAGGCCTGGTGTCATGCCTGGTTGCTTGTTCCTTTCATACATCTTCAACAAGAAGTTTGGAACACCTGCCACTGTCTTCCCCTGGTCTGAGCGTGTGGTCCCTCCTCTCAAGGCAGAATGATACACATTACGGGGCATGTTGGTCATCTCCTGTTTCACAAGTGATGTTGCAAACTCTTCAAATGCTTGATGACGGGCAATGCAATGAAGAGAGGAAATTGAATGTCAGAGTCTGATGACTGAGAGACAAAATTAACCCTGCAGAAACAAAAATGACAGCAGCGCTTCCTTCCCATTCCAACATCGTGGTGGAGCAGCCGTCTAAATTTGATGATGCAGCATGGAAGGAAGGGCACCTACATTTGGTGATTTTTTTTCATGTAATTGGCTCTGCCTGTAGGATACAGAAGGATATTTTCATTACAAAAACTTTTTCTCACTATCAGGACCTCTGATACATTGTCTTCCTAAAAATGGGTTGAGTGTTTTATTTTCCGCTGAACTTTTACTTTCCATTTTTTCCTGTAATTTGTTAAGAAACGAATTTAAAAACCACAAAAAAACCCCAGGCCACACTTTAACAGGGCACTCCATTATAAAAGAGCCACATGCTTGTACAGTCACCGTGATTATGTATCTGCAAAGTAACATCAAATACTGAATGTATTTTACCTCCTAAAACAGAAGCTGGTGTTAGACACAACAGCTTGATGTATGAAGAACCCGGAACAAAAAGATTTGCCTCCTCGTCGTCTTCTTCATTCATGTCTGCCTCCTCCAGTGAGTCAACTTCTGGTCGTGCCTGGAAGGTAGCAAAAAATGAAATGTCAGCACAAAGATTCCAAACCCTCATTGCCATTCATGATTCCAAGAGTCAAAAATAACAACTAAATATGAAAAGTTCTCCATTTCAGTAATTTCACTCCATTTCATTCATTTGAAGCTGAAAGAAAAAAAGCTTTCCTTCTACCTGACAAAAAGACAACACTGGTTGATAAAAATCACAGGGTATGTAAATCCACATCTGTGATAGCAAAATTAATCTTGACATTTACAGACTGAACTAATATGCATAAAACTTTGTTTTCACTCTGATGCTTCTTCAATTTAACAATGTTTTATATTGGCACTTTAATATACACAGAAACTTTTTGTTAGATGTTATTTTTACGTATTAGTTTTCAGAATTTAAAAACGGCAACATATTTACATCGCTTTCAATTAAAACATATTTACTCATTTCCTGAAGAGAGTAAAGCAACAGCACCAAAAATACAGAACTATTTACTACTGTGAAAGATTTAGTACTGCAGCAGTGTTTAGAGATATCCCTCATTCTCTCTTTTAGTCTTCTACATAAAACACTTCTTTCATTTGTAAAGCTCATGCTGAAATCTTCTCATTGATTGTATGTAAAGTAAGTTTTGTAATTTCAAAGTCTCTTATTTTGACCTTTTCATTATAGCTAGTTATAACATGCAAATGGAGACAATTTTGTAATAAAGCACTCAATAAAACATTATAGAAGTATTTACTGTGCCACAGACTACCAGGTGACTAGTGAGTACTGCCTAGACTCTCATACAACAAAGTCACACAGACGACCTTATGTTCATCTCCCTGCACTTTTTAATTCTCTAATGTTGCTGAGTCATCTGATCAGAAGTTTCAGAGTTTCTACATACTTAAAAAGCTTTACAATAACTACCCCAATTCCTTTCTGGCTGCCTTCATTGGCAAAAAAAAAAAAAGCAAAATGTTATGCTGTAGCAGTTCAGAACAAAAACACAGGAGAACTGTTCAGTTTAATCCCCAAAATAGCACCTACTTTTCAAACTGACTTGCCCATTTCAGGAACAAAAGCACTAAGCACCAGTCTCACTGCAACAGATGAAACAGTTTAGTGTCAAGACTCAACTGCAAACATTAACAGAAGAGCACAAAACACAAACCAGGTGCCCCAAAAACCAACCTGCTGATTTAACTAACAATGTAAGAAAAAGTACCCTATGACTGCTTAGCCCTCACTCAGCTTTATTTGTGCCTTTCCTCTCTTGTCTTAGTTGTGTTAATCACACATAACAGCATCTCATTTCACCAGCAATGGCTCTATTCCTTCGTGAGGCTCTCCTGGTTGTCTAGTAGAGAAAGCACAAGGCCTAGTTTCTCTTTCAAAAGTATATAAACCATGTCAGATGGAAGTGCCAGATGTCCTTATTATTAAACATTCAACACAGCTACCTGTTCAGGAAGATGAAGAATTTTATGCTCTTCAGAGCCAAATGATGAGAGGGATTTATAGGCTGAAATGGCTACAAGAGCATCCTAGAAAATAAACAGGAAGAAAAAGAAAATCACAAACACATCATATGGTATTGCTACCTACTGCAAACTCCACATATAAAGAGCTTATCAAGTAACCATGGAATGCTGAAAAAGCTTAAAATAACAATTTTTTCCTGAGGCACATTCTCAACTGCTTACTTTATATATCCACAATGCAAAGTAGCATGATCAACAGTCTAGGCTTGATAGCAAGCATTCTGAGGGTAGTTTAGGTAGAAATACCCAAGCTATATTTAAACTAAAGTGCACTACTTCCACCAGCCCCATGGTGATGATGGTCCAAGATTCTCACTGCATTACAATACCTCACCAAAGAACTGTGTTAACTGTCACAGCAGCATCTTTGTCAAGAATACTTCACTATGTCAAGGCTGAAGTCTTACAGTGGAAGTCAAATTAGTTTATGTTATAATTTTTCTTGGAAATGGCAGATGTTGGGACCATTCGTTATCATCTTTCACGTGCAATACATTACTTCATAAACAGTGTTAAATGGCCAGCAACAAGAAGAAAACGTTATTACAAAATGAGATTACTGATATTGATAATCCTGTCTTGACAGGAAAGCACAAAACTTAATATCCAGTTGCTGACACTAGGAATTAACATTTTCAGCTGGATCACCTACCTTGTTCTGTGTGTTGTTCCAAAGGAAGCTAACAACTTCAGCTTTGAATTTCTACAAAAGCAAAGAAAACATGCATTCAGGTTTTCTTTGACCAAATAAGCAGCTAAAATAGAGGCAGTTACCTGAAACAAACTGCTCTCATATCAACAAGCACTGAGATAGGCAAGTGGAAGGGATGCAGGTTTGAACTGTAGACACATTCACATGTCCTTACATTCTGGGAGAGGGAAATCGTGGATTAAACTTGCACTGGAATATCTCACCTATCTCCCAGGTCGCACTGATGCAATCTAAAATTGTGAAACTATAGAATGTGCATTATGATTAATCTGATTAGGCAGTGGGTGAAATTTAGAGATATTAAAAACAAGCAGGCTCATTTAACAGTTAGATACAAAGATACACTACAAGAAAGACTCACCTTGACCATAAGTACGTACCTCAAATTCGTTTGTATTTACAGTTAATGAGGGAACCAGTGCAAACAATTCATTCAGTGCTTTCAAAATGAGGGGCCTTCTATCACAACTCAGCTTTGGTGACAGAGCATTCCATGTAGAACGGATGCAAACAACCTGGAAGGAACAGCGGAAGGCACCACTACTAATAGCAATCCCAACTTGACTTAAATAACATTTTTTTTCCAGTGCTTGTCCTCTTTCTTCCTACTTGAGAACAGGAATTAATATATGGTTCATAACCAGAAAAAGGCCAGCATGTTAAAAATTCACTCGTGTATCAACTGGCATCATGCCATAATACTGCACCATACTTCACTAAAGAAA